CAACGGTCGTTAAGTGTGAAAAATGGTCCTAATTCATTTTTTTGGGGTGCTGTCATAATTTTGAACAATCACTTAATGGTTGTAAGTCAAGAACTACCTGTACATAAATTTGGGAAATTGTGGCAGCCAGGTGATTTCCCTACAAGTCATTCTAACAGCATGACTAGCCAATATAGTAATGTCCCTGCTGCTCCACTCCGTTGCACACAGCGGTGTGTTGCATAGATCTGATGGCTCTCACCCTCTTTTCCTTTAGAGCACACCTGGTTGACCTCCAGAAGAAACTGGAAGAACTGGAGCTGGACGAGCAGCAGAAGAAACGGTTGGAAGCTTTCCTCACCCAGAAGGCCAAAGTGGGTGAACTGAAAGACGACGATTTCGAGAGGATTTCGGAACTAGGAGCTGGCAACGGCGGGGTGGTCACCAAAGTACAACATAAACCCTCAGGGCTAATTATGGCGCGGAAGGTGAGACCGGGTAAGGGGGGGAGAAAAAAGGGCAGACCCATTTTCCACTGTGATCTCAATCACAGCGTTTACATGTGCTTCATTGATTTCGAAAAAAGTTTTTGATAAAATAAGACACAGCAAACTATTAGAAATCCTGAAACAAAGGGTGACTAGATGACAAAGACATCCAAATCATAAAGAATCTGTATTGGCATCAGGTAGCAAATGTGAGACTAGGTCCAAAATACTCAGCTGATGCAGAAATAAGAAGAGGGGTCAGACAGGGATGTATTCTGTCTCCACTGTGGTTCAATATCTACTCTGAGTCAATCTTCAACGAGGCACTGGAGAACATCGATGCTGGCATCAAAGTAAACAGTGTTTGGATCAACAACTTAAGATAGGCTGACGATACAGTTCTGCTTGCCAGTAAGCATGAAGACCTTCAGCTCCTCATCAACAGAGTCACAGAAATATCTGAAAAATACGGGTTGAAGCTTAACACCTCAAAAACCAAGATCATGGTTGTCAGCAAACAACCCGTTAATTTACCACCAATACATTCAGAAGGAATACCACTAGAAAAAGTTGAAAGGATCACGCACCTCGGTTCCAATTGACACGAAAGCTGGGACGTGACCGTTGAAGTAAAGACCAGGATAGAAAAAGCTCGAACAGCATTCTTCAAAATGAAAAAGGTCTTCTGCAGTCACGACCTAAGCCTAAGACTGAAAATCAGGCTTGTCAGATGCTATATTTTTCCTATCCTGCTCTATGGAGTAGAGAGTTGATGTCTGACAGAAGGCCACCTGAAGAGACTAGAAGCATTTGAAATGTGGATTTACAGGTGACTGTTACATATAAGCTGGATTGACAAGATCAGAAATGAGGAGGTGATAAGCCCCCGGGGAAAGCCCAGGGAAATCATCAAAACTATTAAAAAGCGAAAATTAGAATATTTCGGACATGTGATGCAACACCCAGAAAAATACGGCATGCTCCATTTAATCCTCCAGGGAAAGATGGAAGGCAAACGAGGTCCAGGCAGAAGAAGACCATCGTGGCTTCAAAATCTAAGGGACTGGTTTGGACAAAACTCAGCTGCACTTTTTCGTGCGGCTGCTGATAAAAACAGGATCGCCAACATGATCGCCATAAAGGATATGGCACAAGAAGAAGAAGATTTTCCAAACATGGGCCTGAAGTCAGCCAAAGGCGTCAAGAAATGACACCGTCAGAGCAATAAACTTCCAAAGTGATAACCATGCAAATGGCAACTTTTGAGTTGAGCTTTCAAAAACCACCCAAGTAGTCCTCTACGTACATGGCCGTTGAGACTGGAATTTCCATTGCTAAGCGGTGTGGTCCTAAAGCCATCCTGGTTGCTGTTGTTAACTAAATCTCACCGTGGTTAGAAGAGGCAACTTCCTGCCGGCTTCTCATAAAGTTAGCAGGAAGTTGCACATTTCAAATTGGCAGACAGGCAGGCGTAGGTCCGGGAGGGTGTAAGGAGGGACACAGTGAGAGAGAGTGCATTGACCCGCACAGCATAAGCACAGGGGGAGGGTGCGTGGGTGGAGGAGACCTACCCCAGCAACTGGAATGGGACAACTCACCACAGCCAATGCGCCACGGATAACTCACCCCACCTAACGCGCTGTGGGACAGTTCAACAATTCAATTTATTTAAAAGAGTTAAAAAATTATTTTAATTTTTAATCATTCACATTTCATTTTGTCCCCTTCTTTGGCATCCTTTCTTTAATGATACTATTTCTTCAATATTAGTGTAGCTCTTGTCCTGCGGCGAGTTGGCCATGGTGAATTGTTGTACGTGTGAAAAAGGGTCATAAGTTGCTTTTTCCAGACTGTTGTAACTTTTGACAGTCACTAAACGATCGATTGTAAATTGAGAGCTACCTGTAATCTCCAACTTGACTCCTAATTAATAAACAGCATGAATACTAAAATATTGCAACAGTTTAGAGCAGTGGTTCTCAACCTTTTTAATGCCGTGACCCCCAACCGGTCGTAAGTCGAGGACTAAACCGGTCGTAAGTCGAGGACTACCCAA